TTAAGACCTGAAGTAAAGAGTGATAAATTTTTAAATTTCTTATCAATATTATCCAGATTCCTCCAAAGGTCTATTAGAACGGTTTTCTAACAAGTTTAACAATAAAGGCCACTTGAAGAGCAGGCTCAACCCAGCCTCAATGCTCAGGTATCATGGAAGGGAAAGCAACATCTGCAGCTGTAACTGGGCTTCTGCTTGTGTAAGAGACTTGATATAGAGACAGATTTTTCATTTCTATTGCTGACAATCTTGGGAACCCCGAAGAAGAGAGAAAATTGAAGTGACAAAATACTGCCATTCAGGATTACCCTAACCACAACTGGAGTGAACCAAAATCAAACCCCAAACAAACCAACATGAAACTCAAGATAAAATATAAACAGAACACAAATATACTCTCGTGTAAAAGGATGGCACAGGAAAATTGTGACTCGCCAATCTTATAAGCATCCCATATTGGAGTGCCTGGGCTTGAGTGCTGCTCCAGCTACTGACTTCAGCTTCCTGCTAATGCAGACTGTAGGAGGCAGTAGTGATGACTCAAGTAATTGGGTCCCCAACATTCAGGTGGGAAACCTGAATTGAGTTCCTTGCTCCTGGCTTTGGCCCCAGAGTGGGGCAATTATGGACATTTGGGTAGTGAACCAGCAGACATGAGGGTGTGTTCTCTCTCTCTATCTTTCCTTCACTGTCTTTCTCTCTCTCTCACTGTCTCTTCACTTCTCAAATATATAAAATTTTTAAGAGAAATACATCACTCGCTGATAGGTACACAAAATTAAGCCCTGTGATTGTATTTGGTTTTGTGCCCTTGCATTCCCTAAGAGTTTTGTTTCAAGAACTAAAAGTCTACTATTCAGGCCAGTAATCACTGTCCAGTCCTATCTTTCATTTTTCTAGTGACTTCTTACTTTATCCTGGCTGAGTATATACTTTTTTATTTCTCTCCCCAGTTTCTCTTTCTTAGCATGGGAATAATAATATAGTGTCTATAGTTTGCCTTAACAGAGCTATGGTAACTGTCTTGAAACTCATGGATAGTCTTCTGATCAAATATGAAGAGCGATTTCATATATTATGACACATGTTAGTAAAATATTAAAGTGAAACATCATAGTAATGATGTTTTCTTAGTGGCTAACAGAACTAGAAGTCATAATTACACATACACAGTAGCCCTCAGGATACCTGATTATTGCCTACAATCATTTTACTGCTCTGGAAGAAAAGACTCAATTGTCCATTCAATTTAACCCCTTGTCATAAAAATAGTTTATATATGTTCCTCTAAAAGGCTATTTGCCTGTGACTGAGATATTTTAAAAATTGATCAAGGTATCTTCATGCATCTCAGACCTTCCTTAGCCCAAAATAGGAATGTGAATCTGACTTTTAACATATTATTTTAAACATTAGTTTTATGGACAATCTAAGTCAAAAGGGAAGAAGTGGAGCAAGTATTTGATATATGGGCTAAGATACCAGTAAACAAGCCCACACCCCATATCAGAGACCCAGCTCTACTCCCAACTCCAGCTTCCTGCTATTGTGCGTCCTGGGAGGTGGCAGGTGAGGACTTAAATACTTTGGTACCTATAAGCCACTTGGAAGGTCTGGACTGAGTTCTTACCTCCTGGCTTCGGCCTGACCCAGGCCCAGATGTTGAAGGCATTTGGGGAATGAGTCAGTAGATGAGAATTAACACATTCTCTCTCTCTCTCTCTCTCTTCTTCCCTCCCTTTCTCAAATTAACAAAAATTAAAAAAAAAAAAACATTTTAAAGAGCAGGGGAAAGCAAATGTAATCTATTCTATATCTGTTATCATGGGGCTCAATTTACCAAATATTGGCTTTTCTGTTGCCTTAAGGATACGAGGATCCCACTATCAAGTGAGAATGGTACCTGATCACCTCTGTGCTCACTTTCCAGAGGTTTTATGGAATAACAAGGAGAGTTTAGGGTTTAAATTCTCTCCTGGGGGCCAGTGCTATGGTGTAGCGGGTAAAGCCACTGCCTGCGGTGACGGCATCCCATATGGGCGCTGGTTGGAGTCCCAGCTGCTCCACTTCCAATCCAGCTCTCTGCTATAGTCTGGGAAAGCAGTAGAAGATGGCCCAAGTCCTTGGGCCCCTGCACTCGTGTGGGAGACCTGGAAGAAGCTCCTGGCTTCTGGATGCAGATCAGCCCAGCTCCGGCCATTGCAGCCTTCTGGGGAGTGAACCAGCAGATGGAAGACCTCTCTCTCTCTTTCTCTCTCTCTCTGACTCTGCAACTCTGCCTTTTAAATAAATAAATAAATCTTTAAAAATAAAATTCTCTCCTCCTAAAGAGCTTGCATTTCAATCCTTGAATAGTATTGGACAAATCATTTAATTTGACCTCTTGGTCTCAGTTTCTGGTTTATAAAGAGGGAATAAAAACTCCAACTTTGAGATCTGTAAATGCTTTTGCTGCATTCATCACATCTAATTTTAATTGTTTACAATTCTGTTTCTGAGCTGCTTGAAAGCAGGGACTATGTCTTACCCATTTCTACTTCTTGAATTCTCAACACAGTGTCCAAAAATACTCAATAGATATTTATTGTATTGAATCACCTACTTGTTGCATATTTGCTCTATATGTTTGGTAAGCAATATACTTATTTTTGTAAAGATGAAAACACCTATTTTAAATTCAAATATATGGTAGATTGGAACATTGTTCAGCAAATATTCACAGATAAATAAACACAGATGTTTCCTTCCTCAATATCAGAAGTACATCACCTAACATCTTGAATTTTGATTTGCTCATATGCCTTGTTTTGACTAACAGGATGGTGGTGGCATGACCTGAGCAAAGCTTGAACTGGGGTTGCACAATTGGGCTTGTTTTCTTTAATTCTTGCCTTTCATCATGAGGAGCGCATGTCTTGGTTAACCACTAGTCCAAGGAAGATGACAGATGTTTGGTGCCAGGTGCTCCCAAAGCTGGGTTGTCAGTCAGTTTTCAATGGATATTCAGATGTGTCAGCTAGAAATACTTATTTCTTTAGGTCATGTTTTAGGTGGTCTGCTAGACAACATTATGGTGGTACAACTGATTAATTCAGATGGTATTTTATTAATGAATGTGTACCATTTGCTATGGTATTAGTTCTAAAAGAGGACTATGTTTTTTTCAGTTGAACTCACTAGTTTACTTACTAATGCAAATGGATTATTCATGTCTGGTTTTTTCAGTAACACGGTAGTTAAAAATGATGACAAATTATTTCTTGAAACAAGGTATCTTTCCTCCAGCAAAGTTTACTATAACCCATATTACTTGAAGTTTTATCTAATGGTGAAATATTCCTTTTCCATTATGTATCATCCCAACTAGACTACCTAATGCTAACATTTGGGACAGAATTCTCGATAAACCAGAACCCAGTGTTTTCTCCTCAGGCATGAGGAAACTCCCTTTGAGCCTACAGGTGCAAGCTGAGGGAGACAAGGCAATGTGCCAGTGTTCTAGCCGTGTTCTAGCCATGGGAGTAGAAGCTGATCTGCTCATGCCCAGCACCAAATATAACACTTTCATTTGATGATGAAGCACTTTTTTTTTATGTTTGTTTGTTTGTTTTGACAGGCAGAGTGGACAGGAGAGAGAGAGACAGAGAGAAAGGTCTTCCTTTGCCGTTGGTTCACCCTCCAATGGCCACCGCGGCCGGCACACCGCGCCGATGGGATGGCAGGAGCCAGGTGCTTCTCCTGGTCTCCCATGGGGTGCAGGGCCCAAGCACCTGGGCCATCCTCCACTGCACTCCCTGGCCACAACAGAGAGCTGGCCTGGAAGAGGGGCAACTGGGACAGAATCCGGCGCCCCGACCGGGACTAGAACCCGGTGTGCCGGCACCGCAAGGCGAAGGATTAGCCTAGTGAGCCGTGGCGCTGGCCGATGGAACACTTCTAGGAACATTTAACTTTATGATGAGCTGGACCTGAAATAACCAACTCTCAGTGGAAAGTCCTGGTCACAGACTCACTGGCGGGTCACTGGCCAGAATCCCAAGAACTGTTTTACAGAAATAAAATGACTTGAAAAACAGGTCTTAGCCTTGTTCCACAATCATAGGGGCTCAGACTTTTGTAGTTCTCTTCCTTCTTCCCACGGGCTCTATTCAGATTCCTTATCTGACACAGACACTTAAAAACATGATGATCTACTCGTTCAGATAAGTCTAAATAGCAGTCTCTTATACCGAAAACAGACCAAACATGGTGCTATTTTTGTTGCTCTGGGATCCATTGAAAAACAACCACATGTGATAGATGTTGCCTAAAAAATCCAGAGATTTATACCTCTTTCTTAATGGTAGGCACACAAGAGTGCCCAATCTTTACCTCTGGACAGAATATCCCAGGATGATGTTGACAACCTGACCTAGAAACTTCTACAGTATGGTAGGCACCCAAATTTTCAAGAATTTTATCTCCCAACTACTGGCACAGATGTCTTATGGGTATCTAGGGTATCTGTTATTTCCTGCTTTCCAGATATTAACAGTATAATGTCAAAGATGTCATGTACTAATGTGCAAGGTAAGATGTTAAAAATAGTTAAATTCCTTGGGACGTTATGGGGGGGGGTGGGAAGCCATTGTAATCAATATTATGTACTTTGGAAATTTATATTCATTAAATAAAAGTTAAAAAAAAATCTAAAAAAAAAATTCCTTGGGGGAAATGATATAAGTCTTAGACAAGACTGTTTTTTGAATAGTGTTGAAATGGGCCAATTAATTACCAGGTGCCAGGAGGTGTGGTGTTTTGGTCCTGTAAAAAATAGCTACATGTGAATCACTGCTTCATCTGAAAAAACCACCGAGTTTCAATAATTCACTGTCATTCGTCAAAGACCAGTCAAATTGACACATTACTTGGGAATATAATAGAAATCAAAATCAATTTGCTCTGTCTTGCTAAACCAGAACATTACAGGCTGGATAATTAAAAAGAAGAAATGTATTTACCATAGTCCTGGAGGCTGGGAAGGCCAATATCAAGTTGCCAGCAACTAGTGAGGATTTTCTTGCTGAGTCTTCCTATAGCAGAAGGTGAGAGAGTAAGATAGAATGTGAGATTGAATATGAAGCCTCAAGCCCTTTAAAAATTCGTATTAACCCATTCCTGTGGGTGGAGCCCTTCAGGACCTAAACACCTCCCATTAGGTCCCACCTCCCAACACTGTTGCACTGGAGTTTGAGTTTCCAACACGTTTTTATGGAGGACACTTTCAAACCATAGCCAACTTCTCCAATACGACTTCTAACTCTTTGACGATGGCAATGATCTCTATGATCCTTAAGTACGGAGTCTTGCTTTGGTTTATAATTTTGTTCATATGACAGAGCAGCCTATAATGGTTTTTACTCAAAGGTTCTCAAACTTTAGCATTATCAGAATCACCTAGAGGAGGGGCTATAAGACCTAAATTGTTGGATCCTACTGCAACAGCTTCTTGCTCAGTATATCAGAGTGGAAGCTGAGAAATCTGCATGTTTAACAACTTCCCAGGTGACACTGAGAGCAACATAGGTATGCCTGCAGATTGCAAATTGGATAAATACAAAGACACTTTAAAGGAATTTAGCAGCTTCAAGTGTTTAGCATGGCATGGCATCAGTGTTTCACATAGAAGAAAATGGGGATTAGTGGTGAACTAGGAAAGTCAACTAAATGATCATTGGTTAAGAGATCTCCTACTTTTTACCTCAAACAGCTGCTATAAATTTTAAATTTTAAATGAGGTTATGACTATAAAGTGGCAAATACAGTCCCTGGTATATAGAAACACTCAAGTGTTGTCATTACTACTGTAGTTTTCTTTTTATTGATTTAAAAATCATCTAACATAACCATTAATCATCTGTGAACCTTTGTATATGTCATTTAACCACCCAAGAACTTAGTTTTGTTCACCTGTAAAATAAAGTTGTTGTAATAGTTGACCTTTAATCTTCTTCCAGATCCAAAAATCTCTATTTTATATTTGTAGGAATCTATTAAAATTATCTTAATAAAGACATTACATTCACTGAGGGTATAAAAGCTCATCATAATCACAGCTCTGAGGTTCTGATAATCTTTTCTTATCTAAATTTTTCATCCTGTGTCATACAAACTTTCTAAAAACTAGATTGGACTTTAGGTCAGTTTCTACCTTTGTTTCTGCCTGGGAATATAGACCTGAGGTGCTATAAAGAGAAAACCCACATAGGAAAGGTTGTATTTTGTATTCATATTTTTCCAATTTGTATTTTCTCTAATGCTGTACTTCAGGGACATTAAGCCCCATTTAGAAGTGCCACAGAGGGGCCAGCGTTGTTGTATAGTGGGTAAAGCCACCATCTGTAATGACAGCATCCCATATGGGTGCCAGTTCATGTTTTGGCTGCCCCACTTCCAATCCAGTTCCCCACTAATGGGCTCAGAAAAGCAGCAGAAGATGGCTCAAGTGTTTGCGCCCCTGCCACCCATGTGGGAGACCCAGATGAAATTCTTGGCTGCAGTTTAGTCTAGCACTGGCTATTGTGACCATCTGGGAAGTGAACCAGTGGATGGAAAATCTGTCTCTCTCTCTCCATCTATATCTCCTTCTTTTTCTTAACTCTGACTTTCAAAAACTAAAAAAGAAAACTGTTACTGTTTTACGTAGATGAGTATAATTATAATCATGTAACAGATTATTTACCATACACTGAACACTGAGAATTTCAAGTTGTTCTAGGATTTAAGCTCCAAACAATTAATTTAGATACCATTGGAGGGCCACTCTCTAAAATTCTGCATAACATCATTCTTAGTATAATTTCAAATATAAGTATATGAGGAGTCTTAAAGATCATGGAATGTGTATTATGAAAAAAACAAGGATGGATTTTAAATTTTTGCACCAAAATAAACTTATCTTTTTTTAAAAAAAATTTATTTATTTATTTGAGAGGTAGAGTTACAGACAGTGAGAGGAAGAGAGAGAGAGGTCTTCCATCCGCTAGTTCACTCCCCAAATGGCCACAACTGCCGGAGCTGCGTGGATCCAAAGCCAGGTGCTAGGAGCCAGGATCCAGGAGCCAGAAGCCAGGAGCCTCCTCCTGGTCTCCCACGTGGGTGCAGGTGCCCAAGTACTTGGGCCATCCTTACAGCCTTCCCAGGCCACAGCAGAGAGCTAGATTGGAAGAGGAGCACCCAGAACTAGAGCTGGTGCCCATATGGGATGCCAGCACTGCAGGCGGAGGATTAACCTACTGAGCCACGGCACCAGCCCTAAACTTATCTTTTAATAACATTTTTTCCATGAACCATTTGGATTATCCTCATGAGCAGCAACTTAATGATAAGAAAGCAAAACAAGCCAGATATGAAATGTGATCTTGCCTAAAACAGTTAATTTACCATTGACTATCTGTTGGTCCTCTTTGGAAATGTCTCAGGTTTTGACTGAAAGCTACATTTTCACAGGAGAGACTGTTGTCTGTACACACACAGGATCCCACTGTCTCTTGTCTGTATAATAACTCCTCTCTTTTTTGTATCAAAAATTTTCCTTCTTTACCACATCATTCTTCTCTACACATAAAAGTTGCTGTGATTTTTCCCATCTTGAAAAACAAAAGCTTCATCTTGGACTCAAACTCTTTGTGGGTATTGCCTACTTGCACCTTCCTCTGTAGCCATGTACCTGAAAGGCACTGTGCCCATTCACCTCTCCATTTCTTCTTCTCCAATGCAGTCTTGAGCTGATTCTTGTTAAGTTCACCTCCATTTCAGCTAAATTTTTATCATCTTGATCACCATTAACTTCCACACTGCCATCCAAAGGCCAACCCTTGGTCTTAATTAAGTTTGGCTTCCAGAAGACTATACATTCTTGCTTGTCCTGCTACCTCACTGTCTGTTTCTTCTTGAATTTCCTTCCTGAATGTTCCTCATTTTCCCCATTTCTAGAAGTTGGAACATACCAGGGATGTGTCTGCATACATCGTTCATTCACTATATTATTCTCCAGGTGATCTCACTTGCTCCAGGGCTTTAAATACTAGCTATATGCAGATGACTAAAAATCATCGGGCCTTCCCTGACCATCGTATTGAACTCAACATTTTCTATTTTTCTTGCTTTATGTCTTGTCACTGCCTTTATTTCTTAGCCGTGACTTTATACTATATCTCTATTCACTTCTTTGCTCGTTGTGTCTCCCTGTGACTAGAATGTAGACTCCAGGAGAGTAGTAACTTGCTGTTGTTCTCTGCTGCATCTCCATCACCCAGAAGTTTGTGTGTTATGTCCTAGGTACTCAAGAAATATTTGTCGAGTGAACAATTAACACTCAAATTCATTCCTTCAAATCATTTAACACCCACTTACTCTATGTCACAGCACCAGACAAGCAATAGCTTTCCCTCAGGGTGGGGTTCCTGCAGGCTGTCTGAATTATTTTCTGCACAGCACAGCAAGATGGAGAAAGGTTGAGCTGAGAGGTGGGCAAGTGGTAGCAATTCTAATTATTGTCTAAACCGGGAATGGCAAACCAAGTCTAGTTCAAGACAGTTTAGATTGGAGTGGGGAAAACCATGGGATGGGCACAGCTTCATAACTATCAGATGAAGAATGGAGAAACAGTGCTCGTAATACCAAACAAGAATATCCAGGGAAGCTCTCAGATGTCCTGGAGCAGAAGAAAATTTGGACACCCATAGGAGGGCTGCCACTCTACTGCCTGCTTCCTTGATGTCTGTGTAGGATCATGGTTGCCTAGAGATGCTGCTGCTCAATCCAGTATCAGCTGCAGGGGCAGACCTGGGGCAGGTACTGTAGGGAACGCAAAGGTAAATACAACAGACTCTCTACCTTCAAAGTGCCTATAAACTAACAGAAGATGATAAGACACAGCTAAAAGGAGTAGGAAGAGCATTACATAACATATAATGTGCTCAGCAGAGCCATGGAATCATAGAAAACCACATCTGTAAAGGAAGCTATTTATGGATTGTGTTTAAATATAGAACTAGTCTCTTGGGTAGAAGAAAAAGAACAATTTTCCAGTCACATATCTCATCATCTGCACAATGTACGGTTTAGACATAATTCTTTTTTATGCTTCCTTTCAGTTCTAAATTGCAATGACTCTTAATTTACATGCCCTATATAGATATACACACATACGTAGATAATAAAATCTTATTAATTTGCAATTTATGGTCAACCATCAAAAGGAGACTATTTGCTCTATCAGTAACATTAGTAGCTTGTTCAAAAACAGTGTCAACACATTATAAAAGGAATGCTTATCAATTTTAAAGAACAAACTGTTTTTGAAGCATTTAGAACCTCTATTAGTAAACAAGCAACAGAAGTGGACGTCAGCCACTTATCGAGTATTTATCAAGGTCCCTGAGCTAGGGCCTTCTGGAGATAAGGGGGTTGACTCACTATGTTCCTGACCCTCACTTCACCTCAGGGCACCCAAAAGCCTTGACTGAAGGAGCAGCCAGAGGAACTGACTTACAGAAGCACCATGGCCTAGCAGGTTATTCCCAGAACCTCCTACTCCTATTTCTTGTTCTGGAAGTAAAACAGCACATGTGCAAAGAATATAACAAAGAAAATGAAGGCTCCTTTATTCACTGGTTATTATGTAAAAGTCATTCATTCAGAAAGATTTATTGAAAGGCCACTGTGCAGGAGGCAGTATTATAGATCCTTATGACACTGTAGATTTTTCAGTACCAAGTGTTTATTTCATCTGCAGCTCTTCAGAATATGTTATAAGAACATCTCATTATTATACAGTTAACTCTAATGGGAGTTTTAATTACATTGCCTCAAAGGCTGCATGTGGATCCCACAGGCAAATGGGAATGTAACCAACAACACAAATGAGGGTGATTAAGGAATACTAAAAATGTATTAAAAGCTTTTAGGACTAAGGTCAGAAAAGAAGAATGAGATGCAAATTGAAAAAGAGCCAGGTAAGGAATAGAAAATCAGAATCTGGGAATCACATAATTGGAACTTTTCATTATACCTGAAAACACTTATCACAAAGTGAATCCCAGAAAGAAGACGGATACAGGAAGCAGTAATGGGGACCACAACCATCAGATTAATTGAGTCATCTGTGGCTGAGTTGAAAGGCTAAGCAAGAGAGCACAAGGCCTTCAGTCTCCCTTGAAGACATCGAGGTCATTTGCAACTGGGTGCCTGCCATAATGCTGTTCCTCTCACCCATGCTCTGACTTCTCACACACTCATCCTTGAAAGCCTTGCGGCAGTTTCTGCTGACCCAGTGCAGCCCTCTCTAATTCCTCCCACTCCAAAGAGTCCCACTTTCTGAATGCCCAGTGAACATTTATAGCATCGCAGCTGACTGCTAAATGGTTCTTTGAGGAGTACTCAGTTGCTCTGGATTAGACCAGATTCCTTGGTTGCAGGATTTATACCTTAAACTTTTTAATAATTCATATCCTTACCTGAAAAATCTTCTAAAACATAATAATTAAATCACATTAATTAAATATTAAATGAATTGCATGTATTAAAAAAACTGTTGGAAAGTGAAACTATGTTGGATAATTGGGGACATAAGGTCTATAATACTCATTGCACCTAACTTGTTATGAAACCTAAAGGAGGCATTTCAATATTTTTGGCTGACAAATTGATCAATGCTAATAAGGAAATGTTTCTTTCCTGAGAACTTTCATTCTAACCAACATATTAATATATACAGTTTATTAGTGCAAATAGTCAAACAATATCTCCACAGGTAAATTCAGGATATTTACTACCAGTACCCTTTGAAAACTTCTTAGGCTCCCATAACCTCTATCTGCATAACAACACCACCACTCACCCAGGGACTGAGACCACGAACCTGGCACTGACTCAGCACTCTTGCCTCACTCTCTTATTTGATTCCACTCCATATTAAGTTGAATGTCTCCTGCCTCCCCTTCAGCACAGCCTCTTCCTTGGTCCCAGCCTTAACATCCCCACTCACTCAGGCTCTCTGGTCATTTTCTAGTCAGTTGCCATGGAACTGGCCTTACCTCTCTCCAGTCCTTGCCACATACAGCCAGGGATGATCTTTCTAAAAGGCAAACATGTTCATGTTATTCTCCTTTATAAATCTTGCAATCACTACTAATATCTAAAGGATAAAGTCCTAATTTCTTTGCCTGTCACGTGAGGGTCCTCATAATCTGATCATCACCTTTCTTTTTAATTATCAGCTTTGGCCACTTGCTTATACACATCGTACCTTATAAATTTTCTAAAATTGGCAGATGTTGAAGTACCATGACTCTTCACCTCACAATACAGAACAATCTTTTATCCTGTACCCATTTAAACTATTTGAGTTACCTTCAGACCTAATCCAAGGGACCAATTTCTTTCTTGGCCTATATTGCAGGACTAGCACCACTATGCCTAGTGAACCCTAATAGAATATATACCTATTTTACCTACTAGACTTTCTCTACTCATAGAGGTGTAGGAAGGAACATAGCAGGTTCTGGTATGGGAGGAGAGTATACAGTTTTGAATTTCATACATTACTATCATAATAAGCACTCAAATGCTTGATGAACACTGGTGAGTTGGTGATGAGAGTTTTGAAGAGAAGGGATTTCACGGAGAGACAACAGAAGCAAAGGCTCAGAAGCAGCAAGGAAGAAGGAAGCTGAGAACAGCCCAAGGTGTCTCATTCTTCCCCCCGATATTAATAAATTGTAGGTTTTCATGAAGGGGCTAAAGGTTCAAAGATGTATTCTCAAGTAAAAGATGAAATAAGACAAAAAAATAACAACTTCTGCCTGTGAGGCTGGAAAACTGGTGGTATTTTAATGGAAAGTGGTAAGCTTGGACTGTCTATTCAGACCAGTTCTTACCATCTGGATTTGAAACAAACATCCAGGTGGAAAAACAAACAATTATCTACAAACGTCTTCACTCATCTGTGGAATTATGCCACCTGGTGGCAGTTTCCTCAATTTTAAAAATTCAGTTTTTTAAAGTGGTACAAACTTAAATTTTGAACTTGCAAACCCAAGCATAGTACCAAGCATGAAGTAGCAATTGAAAAACATTTGATTAATTAAATGAATAAGCTAAATGTGTAAGTAAATGATTGAACAAGGCAAAGCTTTGTGGTGAAAAGAGCTTTGATTTGAGTAAAGGGAATTGTTATCTTGTTCCTTACTGCTTTCTATCCAGAGAAAACCTCCAGACTTCTCTGGGTCCCACACTGATATATATGCGGAGTCACTCAGTAGGTGATGTGTACAGTAGGGCCTATCTCTAACGGTCTTGGCTATATATTAGGGCTTCAGTTTAATTATATGAAAACAATTACTGGGAAAAGCCCGTTACAGTTACATTATTTGACTTTTTGAAACAAAATATATAATATATATGGTTTTCTAGAAAAGTATTCTCTGAGCTCAAAACTCATTGGAGGTTCAGAGCATAGGAGTTGATGTGCAAACTTCTGGTTGTTGAACTTGAACTTACAGCTGGAGAAACCTTTGGAGTTCTGACCAACACTCCTTTTCATTATGTCATCATCTCTCCTCAGCTAGAAGCTTCTCAACATGGCTTTCTAGATGCCATTACTCCTCAGGAACCTCCCACAGCACACTTTTTCATGTTGTAACATGAAAAATATTTGATGTCCAGTTTAATTTTCTTAAACGTTTTCACCTCTTTTCATTGAAGATAAATCTTATGCAGAGAAAGTTAATTGGTCTCATTCTGCATTTTGGACAAAATTCATTTAAGTGAAGAGACAACATGCCTTCCTAAGACTTTAGTATATGAAGTTCCAGAATCTGCCATATTTATCTAGGATGTATACATAATTAAAGGGGCTACATACAGTATTTATACAGGAGCATAACAGCCAATCACTTGATTTCACTGTGAGGGAAGTGTGATATTAAGAGACAAAATGGAAAAGGGGGAAAGTCCATTGTCAGGCAAGAGTCACAGAAACAAGAAGTAAGATACTAAGAGGACTGGAGTTGGAAAATGAATTAGGGGAATTTTCAAAGGGTATGTGTACGTTTCAGGAGTGAGGAATGAAACAGTATAAAATAATGAGAAATGAGAAGAAATCCACTTTGCAAAATGTGGTTGAAGACATGTTGACAGCAGAGAGAGAATGTATGGAAAGTAAATGCCAGGCGGTAGTAACAGCATTAAAATCTCTAGAGATGCCTCTAGGTAGAAGCTGGACTTTTGTCAGTACTTTTTTCTTAAGATCTGATGCAATGGCTACTTTCCAGATTTAAAAGTTTGACATCTTAAATTCAGTTATATTGAGGCAACTAGAAAGAGTAAACATTCTTGAGCATATATTGCCATCCAGTGGATGCATGAGCACAGTGCACAAAACCTTTGATAAAGTAAATACAAAGACAGTAAGAGGTTACGACCATGATGCTAGCTAGTTAGCCTTAAAGCTTTGTTTCAAGGAAGGCTATATCATAAATGACCCAAAACCAAATCACACTCCTCATTCAGAACACCAGATGTAATTTTAATAGACATTTTTCAAGTATTCTAGTAAACACTACCCAAGGGTTTCAGCAATGAATATTATGATATGTACATTTACCACCACATTAGACACTAAAGTCTCATTAGTGATAATGAAACTGGAGCCATGAATTCTCAAAAAGATGAGGCAAAGTTTCTTATAATAAACCAGAAAGAGGACTATTAAGGCAGTGACTAAACATTTACATCTTCACTCCCCACAGAATTCTCAGAGCTATGGTGAATTACATTTTTGGCATAATAATTTTAAATTTCCCCTTATCTGAATGCATATATACAGACAATGGGTGAAAGTGGGGTCATTTAAGTAAGTACTGAGGCCATGTTTATGTAAGGATTTCAATTTACAGGAACTCAACTATTCGAGCCATCATGGCTGCCTCCCAGGATCTGCACAGCAATATTCTTCATTTAGGATAGCCCCATAAGAGTCTTCTGGCATTCCGTAGACACATCTAAACCTATCTATTTTGTTTTCTTAAAAGAACAATAGAATTTATGGAATTAGAATGGCATGGGAAGTGCAAAGATATCTTCATCTCTGAGACTTTGTTTTCAGCTGTTTATACAGCATCCTTACCGGGAGATCTATTCATCTATTTTGAGTGCCTATAGATAGGGAACCCATGAACTCATGTCCTTCTCCATCTTTGGGCATGACATTTTTTTTTTCTTTTTCTGTTTGAGAGTCAGAGTTAGAAAAAAAGAGAGATTGCCCATCTGATGGTTCCCTCCCCAAATGCCCCCAAGAGCTTGACCAAAAGCATGAGTTGGTAACTCAATCTGGGTCTCCCACATAGGTAACAGGGACCCAAATGCTTGAGCCAATACCTGCAGCCTACCAGGGTCTGCATTAACAGGGAGCTGGAATTGGAGTGAAGCTGGGATTCTAACCCAGGAACTTTGGAGTCAGACACAGGCATACAAAGTAGTATCTTAGTCACTACACCAAATACCTGCTTCATTTAATAAAATAAAAACTGTAAAATAAGGTCCTTCTATTAAATAGTTGTTTCGTCATCCTAGCAGAAAAGTGTAATCTTTATTATCTCAATTTTGTGACTTATGGATCTCTTCCGTATAAACTATCTGTTCTATGTGTTACTGTAAATGGCATATGACTCCCACACTCTTGGTTTACGTAAATATCCAAAAGTCAGAAGCTTTTGTACCCCACAATCATGCATCCATGCAGAGGGAATTGACAGTGTTAGTCTTCTACTTTAACAAAAAAACTCGACATGAATATATACTTTTTCAAAAAGAGGTGTTACTTAAAAACTTATCACTAGGGCAATAATAAGCTTAAATGTTTTAAAAATTAGGAATTAAAAAATAAAATTTTAAAAGTCTCTTTAAATCTAATAGCCACCCTGCCACTTTTTTTTTTTAATTCTTGACATTGACCACTTGCAAACAAACAATGATTCAGTTTTCCCTCACTCTAACTTTGCAGTATCCTTTAAATTACGTCCCCTCCTCCATATTTCTTAGAAACTGGTAGTTAACTTTAAAGCTCAATTGTATTCAACCACAACATTTGTACAAGGACTATTTTAAAGGTTCTGTGCACTTCCTATTCTAGTAGATTGAGAAGAGTGTCTGATGGTCTTATGTTGATTAAATCACAGTAAGAAACTATCCACTGGATTATTGGATTGAGATGGCTTATCATCTCTCCTTCTTCCCTTCCTTCTCTTTTTGTCAAGAATGCATGATAAATATTTTCATGACTTTTAGACACCTAGGGAGATAGTTCCACGATTTTGTTCTTATAAATACTGTTATGAAGATTTGATAAGTTATACAAAGGGACTTTTAAATATTAAATTCTTCTGGAATTTCCAGAATGAATCCCATTTGCTTATGATGTATATTTAATGTTTTAGATGCTTATGAAGTATTTTAATGTTTTAGGTAGCAATTCATATTTTTATTCTACAAAATTTTTGCATTGATATTCACAAATGAGATTGGACTATAATTTTCTTTTTTGAGTAAACTTTATCAACCATTAGTCATGATCTATGGTGTACTTTATAAAAAGAATTTGAAAGCTTTATTTCTTTTTTATACTCTTGAAAAATTTAAATACTGTGGGGTTTACCAGATCTTCAAAAGTTTGGTAGGACTCCTTGGTGAAAACAATTGGCCTAGACAGATTATCATGGGATGAGGATAGCCAGGAGATTTTAACAACTTGTCAGTGCTGTCAAGAATTAAATAAAAGATTCTTTTATTTCTTATTTTCTCTGCTTCAAATATTATTTCTCTTGTTTATTTTTGTATTTTGTAAACATGTATTTCCAGTTAGGTCGATTAATAGCTTCTTTCTGTTTATTTCTTTAGCCAGCTTATTTTTCATAAGTTATCTGACCAAGTTCTGCTTTCATTTTTTTTTCATCAATTCCTTCTGCTTAACTTTAGTTTTCATGCTTGTTTTTACATTAAGTAGAAAATTCATTTCTTTCTTCCCATTTTTGTTGGTAAAGGTAATTAATGCAGTAAATGCGTCATAGAACACTGTATCCTCTGTGTCCCGTGTATTCTAATGTGTTTTCTTTATCATTATTTTTTTTTTTTGGGAATTAATAATTTCTTCTTTTTTTTTTTTTTACAGAAGATCAGTTTAGTATACATTAAGTAAAGATTTCAACAGTATGCACCCCCATAGAAACACAAAGCGAAATATACTGTTTGAGTACTCATTATAGCATTAAGTCTCAATGTACAGCACATTAAGGACAGAGATCCTACATGAGGAGTAAGTGCACAGTGACTCCTGTTGTTGACTTTACAAATTGACACTCCTGTTTATGGCATCAGTAATCTCCCTATGCACCAGTCATGAGTTTCCAAGGCTATGGAAGCCTTTTGAGTTCACCGACTCTTATCTTGTTTAGACAAGGTCATATTCAAAGTGGAGGTTCTCTCCTCCCTTCAGAGAAAGGTACCTCCTTCTTTGAAGACCTGTTCTTTCCACTGGGATCTCACTCACAGAGATCTTTCATTTAGGTTTTTTTTTTTTTTTTTTTTGCCAGAGTGTCTTGGCTTTCCATGCCTGAAATACTCTCATGGGCTTTTCAGCCAGATCCGAGTGCCTTTAGGGCTGATTCTGAGGCCAGAGTGCTATTTAGGACATCTGCCATTCTATGAGTCTGCTGAGTATCTCACTTCCCATGTTGGATCACTCTCCCCTTTATTTATTCTATCGGTTAGTGTTAGCAGGTACTAGACTTGTTTATGTGCTCCCTTTGACTCTTAGTCCTTTCATTATGATCAATTGTGAACTGAAATTGATCACTTGGACTGGTGAGATGGCATTGGTACATGCCACCTTGATGGGATTAAATTGGAGTCCCCTGGTATGTTTCTAACTCTACCATTTGGGGCAAGTCAGCTTGAGCA